GCTTTGACAGATGGACATCCGACGCTTTGACAGATGGACATCTTGCCACAGTCTTCGAATGAAGAGCCTGATAGAGTCTGATAGAGAAAACATTCTAGGCATACTCCGCTGGTTTTGAATTGAATTTTCGCGCGCCATTGCAAATCGTTGTGATGCATTTCTCATAACAACATGGATCGCCTTTTTGCTGAGCACTATTGGTTGAGCAACACAACAGAGCAAGTAGATATCTTTCCCCCGAAAGAACGTCAGAAGGTCACGTGCTCCCACATATTCTCGACCGAAAGAGTAGTTCTAGTTTTGGTGCCCTGAAGCCACTAAATCAAGTAGACAGCATGCAAGCTAACGAAGATTCGGCCAACATAGACGACACACTGGAGGAAGCCTTGATCCTGGGTTAGTCGAAGGGAGGATCCTTTTTCCTTAGCCTGAACTCTCACTCAGAAGTCCTTGCGCAAGACCTGAGGAAAGCTTGCAGGCAGCCCTGAGAGCTGCTGATGAAGAAGCTGCCGAGGCTGGTCTTTAGGATTCAGGACCGTGCAACATAGAATCAATCCATTCGAGGCCTTCCAGCCGGGCGTCTACGTGACGACCTGCCGATGCCTGGTCTTGAGGACCTTTGATGTCATAGAGCCTCAGATTGGTGACATCATCACGGAATTTCAGGCACGTTCACAGACGAGATGGTGAGACTTGGGGTTGGTATGTTGATATGCTGTGTAAGATATACTAAGATGGGTCAACCAAGAAGAAACGAAAGACATTGGGTAGTTCACTTCGATTTTCCTTCAATACCCTTTGGACCTGGCGGACACTCCGGTGGACCTGCCTGATCCGAGTACGCCGTCGCCTCGACGCTGGTCGCCTTGGCGCATGCGATCTTTGATGGTCAGCTTGAAAACAACACGTGATGGTCTCCATGGAGAGTCCCTATGGACATCATGTTTGGAGGCCATCGCTATTAGGTTGGAGGTTATTGCTATTGGGTTGGAGGCCATCGCTATTAGGTTGGAGGCGGTTGCTTCTAATTAGGTTTGAAACTATTAGGTTGAAAGCTTTGGTGGCTGCGCATGTTTTGTTCCCTGCCATGACACCAGGCAGGGAAGGTCTTCAATGCAGTGAGCTTTCAGCTTGTCCCAGAACAGCGGCGCCTGCCAGCGGCTTAGTGTCTCTGCTCATAAGCCGTATTATATATAGTGCTCAGAGGAAACTCACCGGGCAACTGAACACCTGCCTTTTGATCGAACCTGGGTCCTTTTGCATTTTATGTGTATCATTTTATTGTTGTCAGGGTGGTTCCACAAATGATTTCAAGGAGGTTTGATGCGGCTTGATACTGCGCCCAGGCGCGCCGCCTTAGCCCAACCGGCAGATTGCTGGATCGACGTCATTGACTTTGGCACCGATCAAAGCTTCGTGGAACGGGCTGAGCCCTCGACACAGGTGCAATGCGTGCAAGGGATGACGTCGCCATGACGGTCGGCTGTTCTTGTCAGATACGATAATCCTAGGTCTGATAGGTCCTGCATTCATGAAGGTGTTTTTCCTTGAATGTCTATTTGGGGTAGGTTGACGTGGATATCAACATAGCGAAACAAATTAGAAAACACTGTCTCGCATTTCGACGATTGCGACTCACTGAAGGAGGATGGTCCTGGGATTTATGTCTTGAAGAGGACTGATGCATTGTGCCTGGTGTGCGTAGCAAGATGAAGAGGTGGGTCTCATGATCGCAGGATGGTTTTCGTGTCTCCTTCCTGCGAAAATGTGGAACCAGATGATGCAGAGATCGTTGATGAGCTTGATGAAGGTGCGTTCAAGCTCAGATCCCACTATGTGCATGTATTTATTTCAGCAATGCAACGCATGGTAGCATGGAACAGAGCCAAGCCTCGCAGTAGCTGTGTCCCAACAGGAACGCTCGTGAGGGTGGAGGAAGTGGCCTATCTCCGACATGAGCGTCGAGTACGCGCTCGAATCGCCTATCCAGCAGGTTGGATTACGCTCTTCAGCGAGCACACGAGAAGGTTCTTGGGCTGCAAGAATGAGCAGGCATTTTCGCAGACTGCCGATGGCAGAAGATGGGGTCAGGTCTTGGGTGTCCACATTCACCTCAGAGGCCTCTCATGATTAAACTGAACTTGCAACCCTATGGGTTTTGCATGAGAAGCTGAGGCGCTGTGCTGCGAAAGTCAACGAACAAGAGGAAGAAACTACATCCGAGAATGAGATGAATCTATGGGGAGAGGTTTGACTCTCAGTTGAGGAATACATCCATTGCAGGATCAGAGACGAATGCAGAATGCATGTAGCATTTTGAGCGTACCACTTGTCCTTTGCGAAAAGTTTCAAAGCTGTAGGATGATGCAAGAACACGAAGTCGGAGAAGCAACGCTTCCACGGCCAGTTTGCATGAAGAGGAGTGATAGTCTCGAACACGAGTTGTGGATTTGAGCGGACATTGCTTTGACACACAAACAGACGCTTGCAGGATCAAGGATCAACGTATCTATATTATATCATCAGTATCTAAAAGTAGCATT